CTCGACTAGGAAGGCACGGTTAAAATTTAAATGTCTCTTAAGTGTTGTGTTTTTTTGTTTTTGCTCTGTTCGAATGACGAAACAAAACAGAAGAAACGCTAAAATATTTATAAGGGAAACACTTACAATAACCTTGAACTTGGTGATCTGCTGGTACGGATATATAAAAATTTTAATACGTTTTATAAATGAAAAACAACAGCATTAACAAATATGCGTTTGTTTGCGAACACGTTTTCACATACAATAAAACATATTAACTCTATATTATATATATAGATATGGATATTGTTTGCACTTTTATTTTGTATGGGAAAGATTGCTGAAACTTAGTAACCTACTAAACGAATATGAGTTTTTTGCACTTGAGTACTGAGTGACAAGTTCTGCTCACGGCAATCTATCTGTCAGCAGCCCATTTTGTGCTCGTGTGTACATACATATATTAAGATGAATCGCATCTCTCAACGAAATGAAATGAAAAGGTTTATTGAGGCAAGTAATAGGCATTACAGATTATACCTTTAGAAATAACAAAGTATATTCAATAACAGATTTTGCTTTATTTTTTTGTTAAGCTATTAGTGAATATATTCGAATGTAAGATTATCTTCCACAATTTTATCAAAGCTTTATAGAAAATAAAAAAGTTTAAATAAAAACTATTAATTTAAAAATGAGATTTTATTTATTTGTTTATATTTGTTCATATTTATTTTGGATGTTAAAACAATTGACTAAAGAACCAATAGAATTGAAATCAAAATAAAACAAAATAAAATAAAAAATAATAAAATGGAATAAAATAAAATAAAAGGAAATAAAATAGAATAGAATAAAATAGAATAATATTCGACAAGCAAAACGCATTCAAAATAAAACACACGAACAACGTAAAATTCATTTAGAATATTACAGAACTCGGCACATAGAAGATGAACCACCGAAGCAACGTTCAATTCCTTTAGGATGTTTAAAAACTCAATAAGCAAACCACATTAAAAATGAAATACTAAAAATAAATATTTGTTATATCAGAACAATGCAACGAAGGAGTTAAAATTAAAATAGAATAATACATAATAAAATATAATAATTCCGCAAGCCAACCACATTAAAAACAAAACATGAGAACAACGTAGAATTCGTTTTAAATATGAATAAACTCGGCACATTAAATGTGAAATACCAGAACAACGTTAAATTTGTTTAGGTCCGTGTTATGAAGAGCGTCACGGGCACGTCAAAATCAAAATTGTTGTTGAGAGTAGAACTGAGAGTGAAAGAAAAAACAAATGTCGGCTTAAATTCGGTCATGAGAGCCGAGGCTATCTGTGCCTCGTCAATCAGTGAAAGCCGTGTTGTACGTGTTTATATATATTTTTCCTTTAAAATTTAAGCACAATCAAAAAGAACAAAAGTTATAGTAGAAATACGAAATTGAAAAACTGATGTGATACTCTGCATAACATGAATTTTCGTCATATCCCAAAAGAGCCAATTTTGACGTACCCGTGATATAATTATTTCTTAATAAGTATAACAATGGGGACTTATTAAGTTACTGAATCTAATAGCAAAAGAAAAATATTTGCTTTGGTTTATAGAAAACTGTTGTGTCGAAAGATGTAAAAATTTGATTTTCTATATTTAATCACCTAATCCCGGTTTATATCTAATGGATATAGTATGGTTCTTAAATTACGATCTTACTATAAAATGATAAAATATCATGACTACAATTATATACATATATATTGTAAATTATGTAACTCATGCAACAAATAATGCCTCTACAAACAGAATAGTATTGAAATTTACCAATTAAAAAAATAAATATAGTTAATAAATTCAATTATTCTACAGCTGGTTTATGATTTCGTTCTATTATGAACACATTAAGCGAATTTGTTAAGAAAACTCTTACAGCAAATTAACAAAACTCCAGAAAAATGTACGAACATAAAAGTCAAGTAAGGGTTTGGGTCAGTTTTTTAAGGTACGCTGACTCTGAACTTCAAATTTGGCAGGGCACGAATTCGATTCCTGGTACTTGCAGTCTCAAAAAAATATTTACGAATAATTAAATACAAGAATTATTTCGAAGACTACTGATGTTGGGTATATGACAACACTCGAAACAGCTATATGGTCACCTAAAAATTCAATTAATTAAAATAATATAAAAAATAATTTTTTTTGCTGATTTCACTACATTTCGAAAAAGCCCCTTCATTGTAAATTACTTAAAAATACATGTCAGCTATCAGCTGACATAAACTGTTAGGTCTATTAAGGACGTATATCTTTTATACAATTTTTCTCAAATCGTCTGTATATCATCGTACCGCTATAAAATTTGCACACTTTTCATATTAAACTATTTTATTACTTTCTATTTTCAGACATTCAGAGATACATGTCACGCCTTCTTCAACACCATCAGTAGCCTAAAACGATATTGCTATGAAGTTTTTTATCTTCTACAGAAACACTAGAAATTTTCACACTAAAAAAAAATAAGTTTAGCAATTTCAATTACATTATTTCACCAGATGATGTGTTGTCGGCTTAAGAACACGTTTGCAGCAAAATGTGAATTTTAGAAAATGCAATAAATAACTAACTTACTGTCTTATTCATTGCGTTAAAACATTTTTGTGTTGGGTTTCTCTGCCTTGATCCTGTTTGACTTCAATTTAAATACCGACCATCTTTAATCCATTATTACTGCTAAACAATCCCCTCAGTTTCTCAATCTATAAATACCTAACCACATTTTAACCCATGTATATGACTTTGTTATTCATTTCATATTATCTGCTTTATAGATCCCTCCGGACTACAACAACAATAACAACTTACTGTATATAGTAATAATATATTATTAATAATCACTTATTACTCCCACATATAGTAGTTCTCTTAAGTTTGGTGTAATTAGAATTAAAAAGGCTGAATGAAAAAATAATATTATGACTATACATTTCTATCGCACTGGATAGTCACCAAACGGCGCCATCCTTAAAAGTGATACTTATTACATTTTTTATCTAACCTTAACTTAGTCTCTTCATGATGTAATAAATTGTATCTAACTCAACTCTAGGTTCAACTCTCAATTGCTACACTTCCATACATTTCAACAGTAACCAAAAAATGCTTCAAGGATCTTCCTTTCACATAGATAATCTTCTAATACCTTATCCTCCCTTTTGCTTTCACTATCTTTATCACCCCATATTCTATATCTATAGGAATAGAAATAAACGGGGTACTAGCTCCCATGATTGATCTTTTGCTCTGCAACTGAACCTAACTGAACAGAAGACATTCCGCCTTCCGATCGAAGGCCAGAATGTTGGCGGTTGAGGACCTCCTAATGTCAGAAGGGGAGAGTAGTTCCCGACCCAGTGACCTCCTCTTGGCCCAGATTAAGGCTGAGCAGTCAATGAGAATGTGTCTATCTATCTATCTATCTATCTATCTATCTATCTATCTATCTTTTATCTTTTCGGACAGACCCATTTTATCAAGGTGATAACGCAATCCATGGTAACCCGTTAAATATCCCACCAGCAACCTCAACTCTGTTCTGCTGAAGAAGGATACCTTACCATTCTATGTCTATAGTTTTACAGTGGAATTTTAATCAAAGAATATTTAATTCTCAATATACCATAAATTAAACGGTAAACCAAAATCTTTTAAAATTAAATAAATTTATTTAAAAAATATTTTAAATTTATATCGAATTTATGGTGTCCACGTGAAAACAAATCAATTAAAAATGAGTTTCTCTAAAAGAGAGCGTCATTGTTATTAATTTCTAGCTATTATTACAGCTTGGATGGAAGCACGGGGCTGCGAATGGAATACAACTGCATATTTATTCATTATTTGAACTATGAATGAAGCGAGCAAATATACGCATTAATGAGCATGTATCCAAGTACGACAATACTTGGAATGATTTTGCTTATAGATATTCAGCAGTCGTTTTACATTATTTATCCGACATGCAATATTTGAACATATGCGAAGGTTAAAATCCACTTCATTGTCTGCGTATTTAAATAATATTAAATAGAAAAGCATATTACATTTTAAGTTCAGATGTTCTAATGGGACATTGTGAAAAACTTACAATACTGAAAATAATAAAAACTATTGACGTTTTGTCACACTCACTGATTTTCTTACGCGGGACTGATTTCGATAGGTCCCAGTTGAGATCGCCCTTTGATTGTAGGCCGCAATTATTTTAGGCAGAAGAGTACTTAAATTTTGGACTTTGATTTAGAATAGTTTTCAGTGATTGAAATATTTCTATTATTTATAACAAAAATTCAAACTGAAAAGTTTGAACTTTGAACATTTCTTAATCTGGTATGTTAAGTAATTAATTTAAGCTTCCATATACGGGGCCCTTGTGACGAGTAACTCATCGCAAGCACTTAATCAAGTACTTAACGAATTAATAATGAACGCAAGGAAAAGCAGTTTGACTTCACTTGATCTTTTCACTTTCTCTTGTGTACATAAAAGCACAATACTCTGCAGTAAATAAAAGCTATAATTAAGTATGTATTATCTATATTTATGTAATATTTAAAACAACTTTGCACTTTTGTAAAAGTGTAAAATGGAATGAAATGTGCTTTTTTCGTACAAAATTTCTAAAAATTCTCTGAAGCTCATTTTGCTTCTGAAAGGTGCAACGACCACCAATTCCGTAAAGCCTGCACCTGTTTGTTCCATATTTTGTCACAGTTTCCATTATATTCTCATAATCAGCACTTAGTCACACTATTTGGTTTGCTTATCAAACAAAACGTTGGATTAACAGACTTCAATTATTATTGCAAACTGCAGAACTTGAGTAAATCAAAATAAGCGAGTATGAATACTTGTAAATTGTATCAAAATAAGATTTAAAACAGTCGTGTTTTTTTTTTTAGTAAGCGTAAATTACAAAACAATTGAACAATGGCACTCACGTCAAATCCCGTTTTATCGTCACACCAGCTATGTAGAACCAGCGACTGTGGCGACTTATCACCAGAGCCAATACGGCAAGAACCGCCGACCAAACGAAGTAGCAACAGCAAACCATCGCGCCTTTAAGCACCGATCACACTGGATTGGAAGTTTCAAAAGACTAACACGAAATCATATTAGTCAACGTAGTGAACGTACACAATTAACTTTTTATGAGTTATTTATTTATGTTTTTTTAAATGCAATCAGCGCTCTCTTGTCCACTTTGTTGTGATCCCATACATCTGTTTATATGTGAATTGTCCACAAATCAGGGTTGCCATCTATGAAAAATTGAATAACATATTGAATAGTTACACAATGTAACCAATATTTTTGAATTTACCTATTAACACTTAAGCCGTGTGCGAGTTCAAGTAAATTGAGGTAAAGCGAATTGAAGTTTCCTAGGGAAATTATTTACATAGGAAAATTATTTATTTATTTGTTGCACCTATTTATTATTTTTGATTAGAAATTTTCAAATTTATTTATATATTTATTACACATCTTTTAAAATTTTCACAATGGTAACACCTAATTTACCTAATTTTTATCTAATTTACCCTTTTTGAAATTGTAGTAAATATTAACATTCGCTGTCATACCGGTATAATAATAGACGTTTTCGGTGACTCGCAAGCTGGCAAAAAATGTATGCTGGGCTATATTCGCTAAGCGAAACTTTGGCATCACTGTTGCAATCTGTCAAGTGTTATGTTTTGGCAAATAGCAAATCTTGCATATATGCACATATTACAAGCAAATTACTTTTTGTATAAAAAAGTACACATGTTTGTTTACACATGTTTTTTGACATATGATTGCAATATTCGTTGGAATTTTCAAATGAAGGTTTACAATAGTTCCGTTATTGCGTTGGTAACACTTTATTCTTTACGACTGGCCTAGATGAAGAAAATACTTCTGTTATTTTCTGTAAATTTCGGTCCGTATAGACCAGCAACTTGTTCTTTTTTGCCACACTTGCAAGCCACCGATAACAGAACCAAAAACATGACGAATTGAATATTGGTAATATATATTAAGTATTTCTTGTCAGCTTCCTTAGTGCCCTTATTCATAGCTCAGCCAAAGAAGATAAAGAAAAATTGAGAGGAAATTTTGAATAATTGTGCCTCTTTGTATAATATCGCAAAAAAGTCTCTTTCACTTGTTCTCTCACTAGAATAATCGAACGAGAAACGAAATTTCTCAGAAAGTCATTTTACCTTAGCAAATATTGTGGTGAGTAGGGACCGGGTGGGGAAAATATTCACGCATCATTAGTAGCATTAGGTTTTTGTTTTTGCACTGCGTGATATTTTCACCTCATAAATAAAATTTTGAATATTATTTAAATGATCCTGAAAAATGTATACTCAATTTTTTGAGCAACTCTCAGTTTCTTTTCTTTATCTCTTTTAACTCAGCTGTAGTCTGTTTACGTTTTACATATAAAACATATGACATGTTTCAAATTTTGGTGATTTCCCTTGCGGGAAATTTATTTTTAAGGGTTTAGTTCAAAATTTTTAGCCTTAAATGAGCTAATTTATACTATATTCAGACAACCGAATTTCCTTAATTTTGTTAAAATGAAATTATCTCAATTAGAAAATTGTTCATATTGTCACACATCAAGGAAATCATGTTTTTTTTTTTACAAATCGAATGTTAAAAATTATTGCTTAAAATACCATTTGTATTTGCGAATTTTAAAAGTTGATTATGAACGCTTTCCAAATTAACTTAATTTCATATTAACGAAATTAAGGAAATTCGGCTGTCTGAAAATAGTATTACCGAATTACTTTCTTTGTCCTTGCGCAAGTCCAAGTAAATTGAGGTAAAGCGAATTGAAACTTCCTAGGGGTTTTGTGCACTATACTTATGTAAATATTTATTTATTTGTTTAGTGCAGTTATTTATTATTTTTAGTTCAATTTTTTCAAATTTATTTGTTTATATGTTAAATATCTTATCTTATCTTATCTTCACAATGATAATACCTAATTTACCCTACTCGAAATTCTGGTAAATACCAACATTCACTGCCATACCGACATAATTTACTATTTCCCTTAATTTATCATCAATTTACTTGAACTCGCACAACGCCTTTGTGGTTTATGTTTTAATTTCAAGTCAACTAGAATTGCAACCCAGGATTCGTATGTAAATGCAACCCTGCACGCATTTCCAATCAGCTGTTGGGAGCTGAAGATAAATCGATGTTTAAGATATTGTGATATCTCATATAGAAAATGTTTTAAAAAACGATAAGGAATAGTAAAGAGGGAAAGTCATTCCTGAAATGGCGATGTTAACTCGCCTAACCAGCAGTGGTACGTCTGTGGCCACGCCGGGTTCACCAAAAGCCTTGCAACGTTTTCAAAACTGCATTGCTTTTCTATGGCCATCCCTACAATCACAACAAAGGAAGTGCAAATCCAATCAGCTAGATGCAATAGATTGTTTTACCAACGAGCTAGTGCATAGTAAAACAAAAAAATGGGAGGAAATGCGAGAAAATGTTATGAAGAATAAAAAATGTGACACAAGCGCAAGTACAACCAGTTTCAGTCAGACTATTGGTCTAATGTCAAAAGGTGTCATTAGTGATTTTGAGACACTACGCTCACCTCAACTTGGCTTGGATATACGAATACTGTCTCAGGCCCAGTTAGACAATTTATTAACATCAACGTTGGAAATTAAGAATAAAATAGATTTTCTTTACCTCATACGTCAGTGCATACGTTGGAAACAACTACCTTCAGCTGAAGTGTTGCTTAATTGCCTAAGATACCTCAGTACACTTTGTCGATTGCAACAAATAGAAGCATTTGAAGAAATTTGCAGTGAAACGGGTCATCCGCTCGTGAAAGTTTATGCCGGTTTTGCGGCATTCAAAGCGATGGCCATGTGGCGAAGCGGCAGTTCCGATACTGCAATAGCTACTTTGCATCTTGGTTACAGAGACACTGTAGATTTCGAAGAGGGCAGACGTATGATACGAAATGTTTTTCGAAACATAGCTGAAGAAACATTAACCAAGAAAAGTGAAGCAGTTTTGGTTAAACTGATGGACGTTGCACGCTCAATTTACGACGAACATAGAGATATTTTTATAGTTGCTTGTGTATGGAAACAATGTTTTGCAAGTAATTGGTTTTGTGACCAAAAGTCTGCGGCGGATCTCTTCGAGCACTATAAAGAGTTGCAGCAACTAGTGGGTAGAAGGTAAGACTGAAATAAGTTGACATAATATATTACTAATATATTTATTATTATTTAAGATCCGCTTCTCTGTGCTCATCTTTTTTAAATCGTCACAATATTGATGCAGTGCATCGATTAATTGAGGCTTTTTTACAATACAAACAAGACGCTGCCTGCGCTGAGTGCCTCAGTTTGTTATTCAATTATCAATGTAAGAGCAAATAATGCAGTAGTTAATTTTATATTGCAATAAAAATTATATGTATCTTTTTTTAGATCAACGTAAAGATTTACGAGCTTGTGCTGAAATCGTCAAATCATGCAGTGAATTGGAAATGCCATTGAGCGAATTGCAAAATGAACAGTTTCTTACGCTGTTTCTCAGCCAAACTGAATCGCCATGTGAAAATGTCAGCAAATCGATACCATCCAACCTGCAAAATCCGTACAAACAGTTCCAGTATAAATTTTAAGCAATACTTGCGGTACATTTTTGTACCTTACATTTTTTTAGTAGAATCGTAGTTGCACACTTGTTACTTTTTAGACTTTCTTTACAATATTAAGACCGAAAAAATTCTATTACAATTTTGAGAGCAATCACTGGTTTTAATGTAAATTGCATGCACTAAAGTTTCGTTTAGGTTGTAAGCGTTAAAGCAATACTTTTGCAATATTTTCACTATGTAGTCAATAAAGATTAATTGTTGCAAATTAATGATAACTTTCTTTATATGAAGAGTTTAAATTAAAATATTTATATAACATAATTATATTATTTTGTCTAATGACAGAATAGTTAAGATGATTCTAGTTTGAGGATACATTGAAGTGAAACAATTTCAAGCGTATAGTCTAGCATTAACATTCATTTCGCACGAGAATTTGAACCAAAAATCTAAAGAAAAATTTATTCCACAAAATTTGCTTATATGGAAGTTTGTCAATTTCTTGCGCTTGGATTAAGTATTTTGGGCCAAGTACTAAAAATTTTGTTAATACTATGCTTAAGTAGATAAGCTGCCTTTAAAATGATTTGTGTAAATAATGGTTTAATACGACTTTTAATCATTTAGTTAAACTATTTCTTGATATCGCAATTGCACTATGGAAATATTTACATAATTTGTTAACAAATACTTTGGGAAGTACAATTATTTAGAACCAAAAGATAACATCACAAACATCACCGAGGGCTTTTTTACTGTTCATTCAATTTATTTTTTTAATTATTTAAACATTTTTAAATTTGTGTTAATTCTTAATATAAATAAATAATTAAATAATAATTAATATTTGTGAAAAATATTAATATTTAAAAAAATACTTTGTAACGAAAACAAATTTAAAATATTTAAAGTGTTTGAAGAAAAAAAATTCAACTGACGGAAGACTATAATGATGATATTATGGTTTTATATTTAATAAATTATATTTAATTAATATAAAAAAAATTTAATGAATCACATCCTATGCTTCTAGGCCCGTGCAATCAGCGCACCGCATTAGTAAGTGTTTGCCACAAAGTGGACGAAGGCATTGCTGGCAACGCGTACGTGTTTTACACGACTTCGCACTTGGGCACTTGCGACAACGTTTCCGATTCTCACAGTGCTTCGACATAAGTGTAACATCCTCAGGCAGTTTTACTCTTTCGGTTTGTATCTTGCCAACAGCATTGTTACTTTTGTCACCCCCTGGTATTTCGTTGAGGAACTTTTCGGTAGGTTCACCTAACATTTCGCAAATAAGCAGTTTCTGCATTAGCGGCAGTTTTTTATTATTTTCTAGTCGACGCTTGAGATGTTGTTGGGTCAGATACAATCCTAATTGCCGTAGGAAATCTCGTTGCAAGAACGCAGCATCGCCATTCGCAGAAAGTCGCAGCAATATCCATGCATTGAACGCGGCAATGTCGAGTATGGCATGGAAAAGCCGCAACGTCCAACCATTACTTTTGCATGTGCCTGCATTGTTTGTACTGTAAATTTTTGACTTTTGCTGGAACCGTTGACAACTGTCTTGAGTACACCTAAAAAGTTTTGACGCATCTGTTTTGGGTGACACACCACCGTCCAAAATAAAACATAAAGAATTGTCTTCAGCAGTCGATTTATTTAATGACAACGAAGAGCTCTCGCCGTATAAAACTGTTGCCGTTTTATTTGAGATGAACTGTTGTGGTATATCCGTCGATGTAGGCGATAGTTCTCCTAAAACTGTGAGCTCCTTTCCCCTTAAAAGTTTTGCTATTTGTAAACTTGTGTAACTCTTCTCAAGTACAATGTTTCTTTTTGTTCCTTTAATATCACATATTAATTGCAAAACGTCGCGTTCAATTGCCGAGGGCTCAACGCGCCAAATGGCGTTGCACATATAAAGTGTCTTAGTATCACAAAGAGTTATCATGCGAAGCTCACTATTTTTCACATTAGCAGGCATTAAGGAGTTACAACCGAATTGTGTTTCATCTACGACTATAATATTTTCACCAATAGCACAGTTTCCAGATGGCGCATAGAATGAACGACAATTTATCAAAAATTTCTCCCATATATGATGAACACAATCTATCGATATCGTTGCGTTCTCAGACTTAATTTCAGAGAAGCGTATCATCTCACTTATATATTCGTATCTCTTAAATGACATTGCTGAACGGAAAATAACATTTCCTAATTCAAGCGTCCAAAGTTCCTCTAGAGGTCCATTATATTGTGAATTACGAAATATTCCAATTAGATAAGTCAGTCCAATCCACACACGCAGCTCGATCAAATCAATTGTATGTTGATATGTAGTTCTATAAGTATTATGCGAACGTATCTCATCATTAGTGCACTTAACAATTCGTAGTAAAATGGGTTCATCTATTAACAGATTCCAAGTCTCTAAAGGATTACTAACCTTGCTCGATGGCCCCTTTCCTTGTGGCTTGATAGAAAAAAATTGACATTCCCTGCATACCTCTTCTACAGCTCTGGTTGTCCATACATAACCACTTTGAGCTATAATTTCTTCATTTAGTTGTCTTTTTCTACTCCGGCCAATAGAGATTTTTTGAGTTTTTAACAAAGCATTGCCTTCATCTTTGAGTAAAAAATCACTTTCGTTGTATTCACCTACAAATTTAGTGTTTGAATTTTGTACTTTGTCTTCTAAAGGATCATCGTTGTTGTCAAATGGTTTCTGTTCAGGTATCAATAGTTCTTCCTTTTTTACAGGACTTTCTACAACTATATCTAAAAATTCGGATAGATGAACGACACTGTCCGTGTCTTCTATTTTCACATTTATTAAAATCTCCTTTGAATCGTTAACTTTCATAACATTACAGTTAGAACTCATTTTAACTTGAATTTTTCCATTAAATCGAATTTAAATATTATTATTCCCTAAACAGCATCAAAATAAACACAACAAAAATGCACAATAGCGAATTAAGGGGTTAAACGAAATAAAACAGAGTTGTTATAAATTCAAAAAAAATATAAACAAGTTCGAGAGGGCAAGTTCCTCTCAAATTAAGGCCATGTGCGAGATCGAGTAAATTGAGGTAAAGTAAATTAAAATTTCATACGGATTTTTTGCACTACACTTATGTAAATATTTATTTATTTATTTATTTATTGCACTTATTAATTATTTGTGGTTAAAAGTTTTCAAATTTATTTATTAATTTACCCAGTTTTTATTTAATTTACTCTACTTGAAATTCTGTTAACACCAATATTCACAATTTTCACCATTTACCATCAATTTATTCGAACTCGCACAAGGCTTAAGCACCAATTATTGTAATAAATTTTTTGTTAATTATAATAAATTAAAACGACTAGTTTGAACATCTTTTTCGAAAAATTATGATATTTCTAATTATTGCGATAAGTTAATTTCTACATCTGCGCGAATTTTAAAATCTATTACAATCAATTTTATTAATTTATTTATTTGTGAGTTAACAATGAAATTAATTTTAAAGTTAACTAAGAATAAGAAACTGGACTGCTAGGTCCTTCGCCATTACAATCAATTTTTTAAATATTAACGCAAAAAAAATGCCGTCAAATGGCAAGACACTCAAAATTTAAAATTAATCTTAAAATATGTACGCAATGTTTAAAAGCAATGTTTTTTTGTTTATATTAAAATGGATGTTGAACTACTTTTAGTATATTAAAATGAATGTTGAACTACTTTTAGTAAGCCAATTACAGGGATTAACACGACCTTAAGATTGATTTAAGACCCTTAAAAAAACTTTTAAGACTTGCAT